ATCAATAACTTAGAAGGGATTTGGCATAACTTGCATGTTTTCTACAAACTGCGGCACACACAGCCAAAGATGTCCAGCGTATGAAAAGAATACTTCGTTGGTTGAGTTTTGATTACGAAGTAGACAGAAAAGGTACCTGGCAAAAAGATGGTCCAAAGCGAGCCGTCACTCCAACGGGCCGAAAGCCCGTTTTCGGACAGAAGATGTATTACACCATGAAAATTCAGAAACGCCGCCGGCAGGCCAAGCTGGGCCCGCTCCCTGCCGAGCCGAGTTGCCGGTGGAGCGAAGCGGAGCTGGCAACTTGGTTTGGCGGAAGAGCGGGCCCAGCTTGTTCCTCAACTTCTGTTGGAACAGGGCGAGTAGAATGCAGCTCGATGACCGCTTGGCCGATACCGTTTAGAGCGTGCGCAAAGCAAGGGACATGCTTCTCAGGTCCGAAATGTTCTCTAACGGCGGCTTTTATGTTAGCCCCGCCAGCTGTGACTACAGCGGAGACCTTCTCGGGATTTATGTGCCAATCTTCACAAAGCTTGCCCATGACTTCCACAAGATTTTCCTGAGTTTTTCGCTGTGGCATAGGGTGGGCAGTAAGCTCAATAGAGATCAAATCTTCACCTGTTAAAACTGTTGTATACTGGTGGTAAAGGATAAAGGAGGCGAAGAGCGAGTTGGACTAAGACTGTTTATTGACGTAACTAGGGAGCTCGACAACTAATAGTTCAAGACTGGGGCAACAGAGGCTTGGCGCGAGCCGCTTATAAAGGGAAAACCAAGAAGAATACAAGAAGAAATGGGCTAGCAGTAGTAGAGGGGGTACAAGGTATTGGAGGAGTATGGTCTGGTTTGGTAGGGGTCCTCTGAAGAGTATGGACTGTCATGGCGCCATGCATAGGTCTAAGCAGATTAGGTTAAGTTTGTTTATAATGTATTTGTCTAATCACAACACCATACCTCCCTTTGAAAGATTTCCGAAAAGGTCCGATACACTTTAAGAGTAAAGTTCTCAAGTTGAAAATTGAGTGTCAAACGAAATTTCTGAAGTTAAAGCATAAAATTTAAACCATGACCATTGATCTAAAATTTCTCTAGCCTTATACATTACAAACAAGTTCAGATAGGTCACATATTTAAAGATCCTTAGTTAACAAATTGAAAGTTTAAGAAAAGAAGCGTTAAACAAAACCATAGATTGAAGTTAAGCAATCGAGTTAATCAGAAATAAAACCGAAACAACATCTTGGCAAGACTCGAATTAAACTAGTCAATAATCAATAGGTTCACAAGTTAAAGTTGCATCAAAACGTTGCAGTATTTCAAACAAGAATAAACGTTAAAAGTTCAGTAAGTTTCACTTGGTTTAGCACTGGTGAGAGTCTTGGTTCTTCGGAAGAAGGTCTGAAAAGTATGAACTCAAGTCATACACACAGCGTGTTGACCCAGGTTTGTCAGACCATGGATCGCAGGTACTCGGTTCACAAACAAAAAGGAAAATAAAGAGGGTGGTCGAGGTCCATCACGAGTTGTGTCAAGGGAAAGCTGAAGGAGGCCCTCTGCAGTAGGGTCTTAGACACATCGTTGCCGACCACTTGAAAGGACTCGGCCAAAGTGGGTTAGTTGAGGTGCGAAAACTGCAACAAAAGAAACAGACAAAGCTTTGCACAGATAAATTATCCTGACTAATCTTTAACTTGGGTAAGTTAAAGATCAACTGGGTGTCGTCCTACCACTGGCTAAACCTATCTAAGACACCATTGGTCCCAAACCTTTCTTAACTAAATTTAATTTTCACAATACTGTTTAATAGTTGTCCGTGATCCGTTGGTTTGGGAGTCGAGGTGTTCTGCATTGATCTCTAGGGGCTCCTTGTCTTGATCTTGTGGTGAGGTGAGGTCTTCAGTTTCCTCTTGCAGAAGATCTTCTTTGATTGCTCCCCAAGTAGGGGAAGATAAAAAGAAATTTTCAAGCCAAAATCAAAAGACTGATATATATACCTTCCCAAGTAGGTGGTTCCAACGGGTTTCTCCGTGCTGACGACTTCGTGAAGGCAAATTCGATCCGTGTTGAATACTACCTAGCAAAAGGCTGTCTTCAAAAGAGAAGAGGCCGTGTTGAATACTGCCTAGCAAAGGCTGTCCTCAAAGGAGAAGAGTCCGTGTTGAATACTGCCTAGCAAAGGCTGTCCTCAAAGGAGAAGTCGTCCTAACGGTGCCGGTGCAGCTGCACAAGCAAATTGCTGAGCGAGCCGTGGAGAAGATGCACCGATTTGACCTAAAAGGCCGAAAACTTCTGGTTTTCAGATGGCTATCGTCTGGACTAGAAAGGTCGGTCTTTTCCTGGAGGTTGTGGTACAGTGGAGTTTGAGACGCCCGAAATTGCTTTGGCCGGCCATCTTCTGGACTAGAAAGGGTTAGTTTTTTCTTTTCGACCCTCACGGCGGAGTGTCAACAGACGCAGGACCAACGGAATCTGAAACAGAAAGAGAG